GAGGCATAAATGTTGGCCAGGGGGCCAAATTCAGACCTAGTAAACAGGTGCAACCCTATTGAATTTGATGGAGTTGCACCCACTTGGTCTGTAAATCACTATAATTTAAATCACCATTGTTCAGCTGTTTCTGGCCTTTAACTCAAATGAGATGCTGCAGGGTAATCAAGAACATAAAAGAAAAGAGGCTTGTTTTAATGGTTAATTTCTAACACAAATAAAACACATGCTAATAAATGAACGGGTGGACAAGGCCACAGGTTTGCAAAGTGTTTTTGTTGGCGTGTGGGTTGTTTTTATTTGTTTGTTTGCCTTAGGGATGTTAATGTTTTGTGTTTTTTTTGCAGAGGGGAAGTAACACATTCCCCAAAAGTCCTTTCATCCCTCTCCCCTCCCCAAAAGCCCTCTCCCAGCCACCAATAGATTCATCTACAACAGGCCTTTTATGAACAAAAACACCTGTGGATTTTTCTCATTTTTGTGTGCATTCTTTAATATTTCAAAGTGCATTTCTTGGCATATAACTCATTACAAAGACAGACTGGTGGGTGGTGGTGGTTGTTTTTTTTAAGGTCCCAGGCTAAATATTTTGGCCTCTGGGCCCTATCCCCATTAATTCTAGAACAGGGTTAACTGCAATATTTATATATGGTTGTAGGATTCATACTTAAATACTTTGAAGATATTGTTTCCAGCTTCATTGTAGAACAATTTTCTTATTCAATATCAACAGTTATTTTTTTAATATCATCTACAATAGGTAAAACCATGCTATAACTTTCCTCGGGTAATATAGTTTTTTATCAGAGGGGTAGCCGTGTTAGTCTGAATCTGTAAAAAGCAACAGAGGGTCCTGTGGCACCTTTGAGACTAACAGAAGTACTGGGAGCATAAGCTTTCGTGGGTAAGAACCTCACTTCTTCAGATGCAAGAGTTTTTTAGTTTCTCTTAATATATATATATGGCCACAAACTGTGTAATAAGCACACAGGCCTGTAATCATGTTTGAAAAGTGTTTTAGATGTAGTGGAAAAATCTTACAGTGGACATTGTCTGTTTTATATTCACTTTTCCATATGTTGATTCTCTGGCTGCAAGCAAAATAGGCAGTCTAGTTCCAGTAGATCCAGAAAAATCAGATTTGAATATTAGGTCTGATTTAAAAAAAAAAAGGCAAGTACAAATACAACCATTGTCCAAACCCTTACAGTAGAATGTGCTCAAGCCATTCACCACTCAAAGGTCTGGTCCTGCTTCTATTGACATCAATGGGAGCAGGACTGATACCAAAACTTAAACTATGGCTTTTATGGTAGATGATCATAGAATTGTAGGACTGGAAGGGACCTCAAGAGGTCATCCAATCAGGTCCCTTGTGTTCATGGCAGGACTAAGTATTATTTAGACCAGAGGTTCTCAAACAGTGGTCCATGAGCTCCATTCAGGTGGTCCACGGATAGTTCCCTCTAAGGTGCGTGCCTGGGCGGCTGCACACAAGAGAATGAAAGGCCACCCCTCTAATTAGTGGAGCCACGCCTGCCTGCGTGGCTCCACTAATTACATGCCCGGACCCTGGAGAAGATGCACATGTAAGGTGAGGTGGTGGCCTTAGGGAGAATAGAGGGTTGGTGGGGAGGGCAGTGGGGTGAGAAGAGGGGGTGGGGGGGAATATAAGACATGCAGGGCTGCGGCAGCCAGAGAAAGAGGTGACTTTCCCCAGCTCCAGGGCTGTGGCTGCCGGGAAGAGACGGCCCTCCTTCCCAGCCCCAGCTCAGGGGCTGCCGCGGCCGGGGAGAGAGGGCACATCCATCATATTAGAAAGGTAAGACTACTAATATTAAAATATGAGTTGTCTAATCATTTTTTGTTCTACAAATTAAAGCATTATGTTTTTTTATATAGCACTTTTATCCAAAGCGCTTTACAATAGTTAGTCAATAGTACAAACAACATTTGGAAAGATCATTAAGTGGTCCATCAAAACCCTCAGCAATTTTCAAGTGGTCCACAAAAAAAAAAAGAAAAGTTTGAGAACCCCTGATTTAGACCATCTCTGACAGGTATTTGTTTAACCTGCTCTTAAAAATTTCCACAGCCTCCCAAGGCAGGTAGTGACCCTGACAGCAAGTTTTTCCCCTAATGTCCAACCTAAATCATCCTTGCTGCAATTTAAGCCCATTGGATGACCTCTTGAGGTCCCTTTAACGTCTTTCCTCAGAGGTTAAAGAGAACAATTTTTCTCCCTCCTCCTTGTAACAACCTTTTATGTACTTGAAGACTGTTAGCACATCCAGGGCCGGTGCAAGGAAGCTTTGTGCCCTAGGCGAAACTTCCAGCACCTCCCCCCCAGCCCTGCGGCAGCTCCCCCCCACCCACCCTGAGGCACCCCCCTCGCGGCAGCTCCCCGCCCTGCCCTGAGGCCCCCCTCGCGGCAGCTCCCCCCCCAGCTCACCTCTGCTACG